TATACATATTTGCCTTCGCCTCTTTATGTCTTCCTTTTGTACGACTCTTCTCCCTCATATAGATATTCTAAAATCCTACCCATCCCTTAATTTACAAATTAAATTTTACTGTTTCCCGGCATTCTCATCGAATATACTAGCTGAATATCTCTCACTCTGATCTTAACTACCTTTATGGCTTTTGACATCTATCGTAGCGTATTGTAGTCATGTCCTGAGCATGTCTTGTCTCCTGAGAGATATATATTGTGAGTTTGTGTCAAGGGATATCAATGCTGTAGCTCAATATTACACTGCTGTTTTGGAGTTTCCTTTCTAGCTGGGTTATTTACTTAAGCCCTCTGAGTCTGATTCCTCATCTGCAGAATGGGTATAATTATATTTACTTTATAAAACCATTATGAGGAATTAATGATAGAATGAATGCAAAGTACTTAAAATAATCTCTGGCACATAATGAATCCCAGCATACAATAACAGTTTATGGTTTAAACTTAATTCCGTGAAGTCAGAACCCTGTGTCTTATTACTACTTTTGTCTACTTGTACCTCGGTGAATATTTGTTGAATTCAGATTTGAATTTAAGTCTCATTTCTGCCAGGGGATACGAATACTGTCTAAATAAATTTTGATACTTGTCTGTAAGAACTTCAAGTTGATAGGGGAGCTAGTAACAGAAACTGGTTATTTGTTATTGTGGTAAGTATAGTGGTAAAGAGATAACCCCAGATAGAATATTTTGAGAGCACCGAAGAGAGGTTGGGGAAGGTTTTCTAAGATAATTGATGCCTGAGCTGGGTATTTTATTAATCAGTTAAGTACCTATTAAAATAATGTGTGCACATAATATAAAACCCAAGGCTAATAATAAGAGAGTGTTTTTGTCCTACTGACAACTCTGCCCACTCCATTCCTACTACTTTCAATTCTGTATTTCTAAGTGAAATGTTTACTACTTTTTTTTGATTAAAAAAATGTTAGATATCAGTTGACTTCCACTATGTGGCTCCTTATACTATACTCGTCCTACGTCTGCTTCCTAAAACCACACATTTTTTCTCTGATTGTTCCAATATAATTTCTTTTTTTGTTGTTAAATCAGTTCAGTAACACACTTACTTTGACTATGTAAAAATTGTCTGTGTATTCCTGAGCATATTACATACTGATTACTTTGCCTTTTTTTAAAAAAATACAACTTATTTTGTTTCCTGGAGTTAATAAAGGCCTATGCCCAAATCTTCCAAAGTTTTACCGGAAGTACTCCGTGTTTACTGAATTCCTGAGCCGTGGTTTACCGGGTATGTGGCATATCCAGAGCGGGCCCTGGGGGAAGTCAGCCCTCGTGCAAGGACAATTTTATTCCTGGTAGAATTTACAGTTGTTGGATTCAGGTGATGAAAGGTTCACCAACTTTTCATCCGCTAGATTTTTTACCTTTTGTGCAGATGAAGCAGCCACTTATTCCCTGCCCTTGGACATTCTGCTCCCACCAACCTATCCTTACTAAGGCTATGAGTTCAGCTAAGCAAGGCAAGAGGTGGTGCTCTGAGAAAGTGGGAGTGTGTTCCAAGAAGAGAGGACAATCTGAGTGAAGAGGTGTGGCAGTGAGAGATAGCATGTTGTGTTCGTGGAATTACAGATAGTTTGGTGTTAGTCAGGGCAGGACTGGCTGAGATGAGGCTGTGATGGTAGGCAGGGGTTAGATCAAGGTGATCTTTTTATTACAGACTCATATGCACTAGATTCTGTCATGTAGGCCATGGGGAAACTTACACTGTTAAGTAATGGGGTATGTTTTACTTGTGAATGAATGACAGAGTGAGCAAAAAATGGAAAACTAGCTCCTTAGGTCAGCAGTTAAAATGCTGTCTTTGCACTTCCAGTGACGTATTAATATTTTAGGGGTACTCCATCAGGCAAATTGTTAGAGCACAGATCCCCCAGAATACACGCACATGCCCAGAAACACACAGACATTCACAGTTTATGTACATGTGTTGCTACTTTAGTTAATATTCAGGGCCCAATAAACACTGAGAGCAGGGTCCAGGTTGAACGATGGTAGCTCTAACAGCCATGTCAGAGTTTCCTGGAGACCTACTCTGCCATGTAGATTTGCATGCAGTGAGTTTCTGGGAGGGTTTGCAGGGACACCACCTGTGAGGGGGTGAGGGAAAAGGACAGACAGGAGGAGATGTTGACTGTGATGCAGTTGAGGCTTCAGCTTGCCCATGGGAAGCTCTGGAACTGGATGGCTGTTCAGAGATGTTCTGAAAGGAGACCCAGAGCCAGGTGATTGCAATTGAACATCCGGGTGGGATGTGGGCCATCCCTGTGGAGGGGCCACAACAGTAATCTAGGGCTATTCTTGGTAAGGCACTGAGCTGGGAGCCTCCAGCAGTCAATACTCCTGGCGGCTGGCACAGCACGTGCCGCTGGGCACCACACCACTGCAAACAACCTTTCTGATAACTTCTCTATTTTTTAGAATTCTAAAATGCAGATGCCAAAGAGCTAGCACTTGGTCCATGAGATGCAATTCTGCCATTTTCCTGGGTTCACTTATGTTTGCATTATTAGTATTACTTGAAAATCTGTCCTTTTTTTTTTTTTAGAAGGAAATCTTTTTAAACCCCTTGTCCATTTCATGAGGGTTAATTTAGCTAAATATTAGACAGTGCAATTTATAATCCATTTCCTCAAGCACATGAAAACTGTTATGTGTGCCAAAATGGTGAAACAAGAGAGTAGAGCATTAACATTAACTTCTTCCTGTTGTGAAAATGAGGGCCCCAGTGGCAATCTATTAGTGATTAGATTAACAAATAAAACCTTGTAGATCATCTTCAATTTCTGGCTTTGGAGAAAAATTTCTTTATGGAATGAAACCAAGGCAACATTTTATTGATTGATTGATTGATTTTTATTGTACTGTAAGTTCTGGGGCACATGTGCAGATCTTGCAGGATTGTTGCATAGGTACACACATGCCATGGTGGTTTGCTGTTTCCATCCCCTCCCATCACTTACATCAGGCATTTCTCCCAGTGTTATCCCTCCCCAACCTCCCTGTCCCCTGCTGTCCCTTCCCTAGCTCCCCCATCCTCCAACAGACCCCAGTGTGTGATGTTCCCCTCCCCATGTCAAGGTAACATTTTAATTGGTGGTAGGACAGCTGGTTGGACCTAGACATATGGTAGCGGTGATGGGGTCTCTGTGTACTGGGTATAGTGTTGCTCAGTGGACAAGAGGTAATCAGTCAGGAAGTGTAGTCCTAGGATTTTTGAGGTTCCCAGGTGGGCATCTAAGTCAGTACTTGCCTAATTTTTCTGATCATCTATGTAAACCCTCAATAAAAAATATATTACTCTACTCATGGCAAATACATAGAAAGGGGATAAGATAAAGAGGAAATAAAGAATACCTATAAAATGAGAAATGTAATTAGAAGCTATAATATTTTCTTCTAATATGCCATTGGATTTTTCTTCTTTTTGCACCCACTTTGAATACTACTGAACTAGATTTCTAAAGCGTAAGTTATGTACTAAATGGGGACAAAGTGCATTGTAGGCAAAATTTGGCAAATTAATGGGGTTGACTTATGCAGCTATTTAAATGAAGTAGTATGAGCTCCAAGCATTAAAAAAGTGAACTGAAGAAAAATTAGGTTTTAGAATAGAATTGGGATGCTTTAAAATGTTTTTTGAAATCATGGAGGAAATGTGTGTGTGTATGCATGCGCGTGTATATCTGTGTGTATGTTTGCACTAGCCAGGGTCATAATGACTTAGCGTTTCCTCCTGTTTAGCAATTCCTCACAATTAACTAAAAGGTTGGGGCCACACTGACACTATTACCCCTCTGTATATCTGGCACTAATTTACGACCCATATCCTGCCTTATATCCCAGAATGCTTTGAATGTTCTTTCATTGTTTTATTTTTTTTCAGATTTATTACTATATAAATCAGTTAACTGCAATAATGAAAAGATATCTTTATTAGTGTCATCTCTGCAATAGAAAAACTGAAAAGACAATACCATCCATAAATACAATAATTTCTTTCCCCTCTTTTTGGAGTTTTAAATGTTTATACGCATTTTTCTGGTAAAACTCAGCCTCGTTTATAAGAATTATCCTGGAGTCATCTTGTACCTGAACTTAACATAGCTTCCTTATTAAAATCTTTTATTTTGCTAATAAAAATCCATTTCAGCTATGTTCTCTTTTTTTATATTTAACAGTATCTACTCACAGATATTGTCTGCTTTAAATTTCTTGGAAGAAAGGTGATAAATACATTTCAGGTAGCATTATGATTACTTTTCATTATAGGTAAAATTAAAAGGTAGCTGGATTTGGAACCAGTATATAGATATCTTAATAAGGATATGGTAATCATGGTTCAGTCCCCAAGGAAACCTAATCACATAATCTTAAATATAGTTAATAAGTTAAAAGGCAGAACCTTGTTGTGCTAGCATGCTATCTTTAAAATAATAAAAATTAAGATTCTTTAAAACTATATGTACAAATGATCTTTCCATTGTTTAGTGAAGAGTGTAGACTGTCTCTCAGAAAAATATTATGACTTGAACTCTTCAAGTGACTCTATTCTTATTTGTTATTAATTTCTTTATAACTATTTGCATTTGCATATTGATTTTAAAAATTTTTTCGAGACAAGTCTCACTCTGTCGCCCAGGCTGGAGTGCAGTGGTGTAATCTCAGTTCACTGCACTGCAACCTCTGCTTCCTAGGTTCAAGTGATTCTCCCACCTCAACCTCCCGAGTAGCTTAGCCCACACACGCATGCCACTATGCCTGGGTAACTTTTGTATTTTGTGGTAGAGATGGAGTTCACCATGTTGGCTGGGCTGGTCTGAAACTCCTGACCTCAAATGATCCTCCTGCCTTGGCCTCCAAAAGTGCTAGGATTACAGATGTGAGCCACCATGACCAGCCACGTGTTGATCTTCATAGTAATTTAAAATAAACAATGTTGTATTTTATTAATCTTAACTTCTTATTCATTCATTCAAACATTTTTTATTGAAAGTCCATTTTTGGTCATGTATGAATTGAGTAAGGGGGTTACAATGGTAAGCAGAAGAGATTTGGTTCCTGCCCTTATGGAGCTTTCAGTCTAGTGAGGAAGATGGAGGTGAGTCAGCTGACCATACCAATAGCCTAGAGAGATGCTCTGTCCTCCAGTATTGTTGCGACTGGTAGCTGGATTGTTCATTCTTTTAAAAATCATGAATGCATAGAATCTTAAATAAATGGTATTTACATTAAACATTTCATTATTTTTAACTTGTGTTGCTTTATTAATTTATCAGTGTTTTATTGTTCATCGATACTTACCAATTTGGCAAGTAATTGGTGTAGAACTCAGACTTAAGTATGGGTCTCCTGAGTAATGACTCTTATTATCTTCTTGGCTAAGCCACACCCTTAATATATATTGAACAGTTCTTAGTTTTGATTTATTAAAAATGGCAGGAGAGCCTAAAGGCATTTAGCAAACAATCTAAGTGCAGAATTTGCTAGTTTTAAAAAGTTTTCATCCCAATGTTATGAAGTTGACACCTAATATGGTGGTTTTTATAAACAGTTTGCCTTTATTCTTTCCAAAGCATGCAATTTGGTGTCAATAAAACATTCATTTTGGCCCTTATATTTCCCTAATTTTGTCATATTTAATTAATGTATATGATTATAGTAACAAATGACATAAACAGACTTGGGGTGAAACAGACAAAGTGGTGAGAGCAGGATTGTGTGGGTTAGTAGAGGAGCCTTTTTGCTATTAGGGTGCCACGTAGGCCTATTGTATACTTTGCAGAAGAAATGGAGCACTTTAGTTTCTCTGGCAACTTGGGGAATGTAGGTTGGCTAAGAACGTTGTACTATAAATATGTATAGTGATAAGTGCTATCGAGTGTATTATGGAAGAAAAGTACAGGCAGCTATAAGGAGATATAGAGTAGCTGGATTTATTTTGGAAGTCCCAGAAGGCTTTCATGAGGATGAGCCATTTGGGGTATGGTATGAAAAGCATTAAAGGTCAACTAGGTGGAGAAGTTGTGGGTGAGTAGGGATTGGGGAACAGCACATACAAATCTCTGCAATGGGCTAAAGCTTGGCTGTTAACGGACGAGGAGAGCGGTGTGGGCAGGGCACAGAAAAGAAGGACCAAGGCTGTGAAGGATGAGGTTGGAGGATGCAGCAGTCATATCATGTAGAGTCTTGTTGGTACTCTTAAGCCTTTGGGTTTTTAATCATAAAAGCATTGGAGAGTAATGAAAATATTCAGAATTGCGATTTAAAAAGATTACTCTGGCTGTCGTTTGGAAAAAGGAATAAACGGACATCAGGTAGTGATCAGAGTAGCCTAAATAAGAAATGTCCTTATTCTGCAAACTACCCATTGTACTGTTCTTCGTGGCCTGCTATGTGACTAAATGGGTCTTTGAAATACTAGAGGGAAAGCAGAGCCTAAATTTATCATAGTTTAAATCTTTTTATCACCCAGGAAGACCTGGAACAGACTTTTCCATACTCTACTCTTTTACCCTTTTCTGCTTTTACATTTGTATTTCTGTTCACTGTTTCAGCACATTATGTTCTCAAAACAATAGGGAAAAAAAGAAAAGTCATTCTTTTAAGCTTGTACCATGCTATTGACTTTCTTTGAAAGGAAAACAAGTATGTTTATTTTATCCCTGTGAGGCTAAAAATTAACCATGAAACATCCTTCTTTACTTCTAAACTATGTGTAACAAAGAAATGCTTTATTGCAATTTCATCAATAATTCAAATGCGACTTAAAGGAAAGTAGGGCAGCTAAGGAAAAAGCACACTTGTTCCATAATTGAGTCGATTAAATAGTATTGAGTCCCATTGTCATAGTCAGATTGATGAAACAACTTTTATAACTATGAAGGTCTACTAAAAAATAAAGCCTCAGAATTGTAATGCAATGTCATGGACACTTCTTCATTTTTTTTTCCATTGTAAAATACAAATAATGAAAGCAACCTTTTACCAGAGTGTAATATTAAAGGAGCAGCTTTTGAAAGGTGCTCTCATCAGAATATTAGTAGTTTTCAAGGCTGTGCAGTAATAATCCAAGCTATTTTGGAACTGTGCATACATTAGAGTTCTGGTGCAGCATGATACAATAATGTGTGAAAAAGTGTAAGATCACACCTTGTTTAAATTTGCAGCTTTTGTGCATAATCCCACAGTGAGCTCTTGCCAGATTTTTACTGTTAATAGGAGAAAAAAGTTTATAGAAGCCTACAGATTGGGGCTTGTTGTAAATATCTGACAATGAAAATAAGGTTTTAAAAAAATTGCATGCCATCTTTTTTGAAAGATTAAAATAGTTATGTTAAGTTTATATTATGTATACTATTTTGCAAATCAACTTATGGTTGGTTTTACCCAATGGAAGCTTCAGCATACACATACATAGTCATCTAAAGGAAATATGTAGATTTGCTCTATTTAATATTTGCAGGGTATGATTGAAAAGTACAGAGTTTGATTTTTGCAAACAACAATTGCATCATAATTTATGCATTCATATTAATGTCGTTTTCAAAATTGTCACCCAGAGAAGCAAAACCCCTTTTCCAATGATGCCATTGTTCAAAACATTTTGGAAAAACTTCCTCTCTCAAAATTGTCTTTTGAATTATTTGCAAGCCTGACTAAAACATCCATCTCATTACTCTCTAATCGCATTTTATACCAAGATTCATCATCTTTTTTTTATTCACCAGAATTGGCTATAAATGTCTCTCTGAAATGATGAAAATGGCTAAAATTGACTTTCAAATTATGAAATTTGTCACCATTGAGGATATTTAGAAGTGAGTGTGCCTGCCTGTGTGTGCACAGACTTAGAAAACAGTTTCAAATGAAGAGAAAAATACTGTGAATAATGGCTGATTTTTAAGTGAGTGGTGTTCTGAGGCAACCGTGAACACGGTAAAATACATTTGAACTTAGGTGACAAGGTGTGTTTGTTTAAAAAAGTCACATTATCTTTTTAAGTGTACATTAATTTTTACAACGTATACAAAGAAAATGTGAATACATCTTTTGGAATGCAAGGCCAAAAGCCTTACATAATTAGCAGTATACTTTATTATTAAAACAATTAAAGGATTAAGCAACTACAGTGCTAATCCTATGTTGGCAGATTCTTCAGATAAGGTCCTTACATGGGAACATCTCTGTATAATTTTATTTAAATACTGCCATTGACTGTCTGATCTGTAAGTTATGTGTATTCATCAGCATCTTACATGATTCATATTAATTTTTATGTCATTTGAAGGCCCTAGTAGGTTGGTAGCACTTGGAATTTTCATTTCAGTTCACCTCTTCATATAAATAATTGATCCAGTTTTCAAAACTATTAGTAGTTTTTAAATTGTTTTCTTAGCCATCAGTAAAGAACCCATATGGTTACATGTGCTTGAAATGTAAAATAACTGGAATGAATTCCAAATGTTTTCTTAAGAACTCTGTGGTCATTCAGTGTTTATGTGTTGAATGACTTATGGGTAAAATGAAAATGAAGTAGGACTATGTTAATATATGTATCCAGAAGTTCACCATTTCTTCCCACTTTGAACATCTTTATTGTGTTTCTTCTTAAATATGTACGAAATGAAAGAAATGTTTGCCCGAGAGACTTAGGTGGGAAGTTTTTCTTTTCTGAGTATTAAGGAGAGGAGACAATTAGAAAGATAATTTTGCTGTGGTCAGTTTCTGTACCATCTTTGTAATGTCTGACTTCCAGCTTTAATGTACAATAGGAATCAAATGTCTGTATTTTAAGAATGTCATTGGTAGCTTTTTGAAAGTTGATAGATTTAAGTGTAAACCAGTGTTTGAACATGAAGCTCTGAAACATGCTTTTGTAACATCACCTTTCAATATAGGTAACTCAACAGTTGGAGACAATAAAGACTTCTTGTTTAACATGGTATGTGATTTATATACACTAATCTGTGTTATAGTAATTATTTTATCCTGGTTTACTCCCTGTGTTAAAATTTCTTTATTTTCTGGCTTCATACTACCCTTTTTTTTTTTCTTATCAGAATGCATGTATTTGACTTTTCTAAAAATTTTAAAGCACAGGATTTATGTGGCACTTGTTCCAAACTTATAGGTACTTTGTTCTTTTTAACATGTTGGTTTATATTAATGAAATTGGCTAATTTGTTTTTGTAAAGTTTTGTTTGCTTAAAGGGGGGGATCAATTCTGAGGGGCTAAATCAAACTGAACATGTACTATACCTTTAGTTTTTTGGTAAATTGATGTTACTTATTAATTGCCATGAATTGACAACAAATGCCATATTTGAAATTCTATTGAGAGAAAATCTAACAATGTGATATTGTTCATTTGTGATATGGTAATCTTTCATTAACAATTTCTAAAATCTGTTTCAGATTAGAAAATAAAATCCCAGCATGCTTTTTCCCCACTGATAAACATAGATTTAGAAAGACTGTATTTTAAAGATGTCATAGTACTGCTAATCAAAAGAGTTAAGAGTTTTAGTGTGTAGGAGTTAGGCTAGTAAGTAATGTTTACATAATCCTGATAAACATTTCCCCATGACTGAATTTTGAGTGGAAAACTTGATTTCTTAAAAGGCTCTAAGTAGAAGAAAAAATATTACAGCCTGTCTTCTTAGTGTGTATAGTGTGTGTGTGTGTGTGTGTGTGTGTGTGTGTGTCTGTGTGTGTTTAGATCCAGCTTAATACCAAGTAATGCCAACATCTGGCAGAGAGATGGAGATCTGGGAATTTGTTGCTTGAAACCCTGGGACAAAGTGTTCTGATCTGACTGGCAAACATAGCTGTGGACTTGAACTGAAATCTTCAGGGGCAGAAACGTCTTAAGTGTCTGGAAAATTGGCCTGTTGAGTCACCGTGAAGGCAGTAAAACAAAACTAATTTTAAGCATGTCAAAGTTCAGTGATTCCCTCTGGAATTCAAACTTTTTTTAAGAGTCTCATGTGTAAGTGAAAAGGGTCAAAGTTGATGCACTGTTACAATGTTTTGAATGCTTTCCCTTCAGAACAGCCACCCAAGCTGGGATTAGCATGAGGAACTGCAAGGCTGGCACTTCAGCGTCTGGGTTAAAAATATTTTAAAGCAGTAAATGCAGTCAGTACAGAGAGATCCCTGGGAGCCTTTCTATTCAAAAATGTGTGAGCTCAGGGCAGCGACTGCAATGTAATTTAGGGCAGTGTATGCTTCACAGCTTTGGAGAATATTGCTTCCCGTTAATGTTCCATCGGAGGATGGTAGGATAGTAGTAATTTTAGAAGGTGGTATTCCTGTTTGTCTTACGTCGAAAACTTCAGAATAAATAAAAGGAAACATCAATCGACCAAGAAATGTAACTGTGGAAAAGTACCAATGAATCTAAATTTGAACTGAACAGATACAAAACCAGCATGGGTGTAGGAATATTTTTAAGGAGGAAGCTGTGGCAAAAGCAACTTCCCAGGGAATGGACTGAACAGGTATGTACAGTGTGGACAAATAGTCTGCAGAAACTTTCGAGAAAATGCCTTGTCAACAGGGAGGTGCTTTAACTGTGACTAGACGAAATGCCATTGAGTATGTGAATGGAGGAATTATTTTAGCACATGGAAACACAGGAGATTTATTCTCAGTAGCTGGCATTCAGGTGATATCTAGATAACCTAAGCAAACTAAGTCATTAGCTAGTCACAATTCCTTGAATGAGATCGCATTGGGAAAGTCTGCTGGCCTGACCCTGAGGTGTGCGGTTCCAGGACTTTTGATGCTAAAATGTTATGTACTGCAGTTGATGGGATTGGACAGGCATTTTCTCAGTCTGAAGATTATGTTGCTGAGCAGAATGAAAACTAAACAAGATTCTTAGACATTAAAAAGGACCTATCATTTTATGAGTTGTGTCTAGGAAATGCAAGAGGAGCATTGACTCTGCCTTCACGTTTTTGGGACTCAGCTAAAAACTCTGGGCTGCTATGGAATTTGGCTAGGATCCAGAGTCTGCTAAACTCCCTGTAAAACTTTGGTTGTTCTTATTAGCTGTTTTATTTTTCCTTGTTACCAGTAGCAGAATAATTCTGTTGCTTTTCATCATCAACCTATGATATTCACTTTGAAGAAGCTTTAATTATTTAGTTATTTATTCAATAAAGATCAGTTATTCCAATTTGAGGAATTACATTTTGTATTGTGTTTACTTTGTCTCCAGAGCTATGAATTCAGTCATGTCTATTTATTTTAATGAGATAAGCCAGGAACACGTGATAATTTTTTTTACCAAAACGGAATAAAAATGCACACGGAAGAATGAAAAGCCAATTTATTATTGTATGGCATGATGACTGTCCCTTCTACAGTTTTCAATCAGAAAGGGACCTGAGTTGTGCTGAAAGACGAGAAGATGACATGCATCTTCTGCATGTTTTCTTCCCGAGTATAGGTGAATAGAAAGTGGTCTTTGATTTGAATCCTTGAATTCAGCTGTGTTTATAAATAACATTACAAAGACTGCTTATTTTAACGCAGTGATGAAGAATACAGGAGAATCACGTATTACAAAGCTTAAATTAGAAAAAGTAAAAATGACAAAGGTTTTCAAGGACGGGTGCTAGGACTGTAATGCAGGCATACTCTTAGTGTGAGTTCTGAGACTTCTCTGAATCTTAATTAGGGCCAGAAATTTAACTTTTCGAGCAGGGCTTTCGAAAGTAAAATTTATTGACTAGCTAGACTGTATGAAAATATAGAAGCATCAGCATATTCCGTAGTCGAATTCATTATTTCAACAGGACTCGTTGATAGTTTGATCACAAATGACCTCTTTTAAAAAAATGTGTGTTGCTCTGAACTTTTGCCCTGCAAAACCCTACAAGTCTTTGCAAGAAGCGCTTTTGAAGGGAAGGGTCTTAAATCGGTCTGATAGTAAAATGCCTTGATCCCGACATCTCTCTCTAGGTGCTGTCAGCTGTTAAACTTGTGCTAGCACACTGCTGGTTCCCCATGCTGTGCTGATCCTTTTGTTTAACTGGCGTTTCTCTTAGCTTTCCCACTTAAACTAGCTATCAGAATCCTATAGGTCAACTAGACAGTTTGCCTTATCGCAAGCTCACCTGAAACATCTTTTGAGGTAGGGCCTATGATTTCATGACAAATAGTCACCTCAGTGGGGAGCTACGGAGCTCACCTCTATCTTCCAAGGGTTAACAGTAACCTATAATAATAATTTGGTGACACAAAATGCTTCTTTTTGTGCATTACCTATTTCCAGAGGCCTAATTTAGGTTTGAATCAAAATGGATATCACAAACAGTACAGCTTCCTGCTGAGAAGCAAAGTGCTACTGAGAGACTTTCTGTGATTCTTTTGGTGGCATCTGGGAGGGGTGAAGGAACACAGGGTGTGTGTGTGTGGGGGAAGCAATTGTCAGCTGCTTATAGTGGAGCTGGGACCAGCCGTGGTAGAGAACGGCTTTCAGAGGCAGAATCGCTTTATGGAATGGTTCTATCAGGAACTGAACTTTGTTCTATTGCACTTGATATGAGGCAAATTTTAGAACCAGGAAAACAGCAGAAGTGGTTACAACAAATACCTTATTTTTCTGTATGATTTCATACTTCATGTTCTAGCAGCAGTGACTGCATTTACCCAGCTGTAAATACAAAAATAATGATATAGTGCCCAGAAAGTTTTCAACCTTAAGAGTCTGCTAAAACTCTTAATTCCCCATCACAAAATCTTTGGCTGTGCTAGTGCAATTGGAAAGGCAAGCAAAGTTAATCTGTCAGCAGTGTGTCCTGTCTTCTCTAACCTTTTACCCTCTTTTCAAATCACTTGTGACTACCCCAACATACTAAGACATCCTCTATTGTCCTAGTTCTTCTCACAAAAGAAAGCAAATTAAAAACAAACAAGTTTATCATGATTTTTCTAAACTATACCCAGGAGTATTTGTACTTTAAATAGAAACTTATGAAGGGTTGTTTTTCATCAATGTTTAGAGTGAGTATTTCTGCCTCTGTGGGTGAGGAGAGACAGGAAAATAACAGTATTATTTTGCAGAAGGGGTCTTCCAGTGAGCCCTCTATTCCCAGAACATAGGCGAAATTCCCAGTAATGCTAAGCCGAGAGCCGATTTTAGCCCAAATATGGGCTGGTAAATGACCTGCGTTTTAGAATTCAGTGATGGAGGTGGTTGTGCATTTTCATGCCTTGGGCTCCATGGCAGCTTCCAGTTTGGGCCTTTGCCTTGGCTGGGTCTGGTTCTTGTACCTGGTAAGGAGATGGGAAAACCTCATGGAGCTGGGCAAACTGACAAAAACTCCATCCCAGAATTTTCACTCCAGCTCTCACTTTGACATTTTGCTCTTGCATGTTTTCTGAGAGTGCAGGGTTTTTCTTGGCTTGCTGCTTCCCCAAGCGGCCAGCCCTTGCCTCCTCTCTGGACTCTGGGGATGTGTTCTCAGAATGCCCATTTCCCACCCGCCCCTGGGAGCACCATGAAGCAGCAGCTGTCCTTGCTTTCCCAGCCCCGCTCCTAGGAGAGGCTTTGGGTGCACAGGCTTCTGTCACATACTTAATTTGTGCATCTCAAGCACAGCTTGCCCAGCTCTGCATTTTTGGCTCAGTGAACACGTTAAACCTCCCCATATAGGTGTTCATCTTGGGGTACACCCATGTAGGGATAATAGATGTTATGCTTTCTCTTTTCAAGGACTCAGGTTTAAGAGTCTCTAGTTAATGGCTATTGGAAAAAACATTGATTTTTAAAAAAAATGTGCTGTAAGTAATGTACTCCTGACATTCTTTTTGATTCCTTAAAAAGCTGTGTAAAAACCAGAATTTTAAGCAGTTTCTTAAAGAATGCTTTTAGACATATTATATCTACTTCCCTATTTAATTGACTATAATTCATTTTGTAAACGTTAGTCTTTCGAAGCAGGAGGACTTTCTACCACCATGGTCTAAGAGTTTGGCCACTTTTCTGAGGGATTGCTGAGATCTTCCTTGTAACAGCAGCTCCCCGAAGAAAACCAGAGACGAGAAATAACATGAAACCCTCAACTGCAGCTTTTGTCCCATTTGAATTGCAGTGGATAATTTTCAAAAACTGCAAGTGGGGTGATGTTGTAAGATGGACTTCTAGCTCTCTTTCAAAGTTTCTTCCAATTTGTCTGCTTATTTCAAAATCTTTACCTAGAATGAGAAAATATTCATGTAGTTTAATATCCTTTGTTTTCATGGTATTGTTTTATATAATGATTAGCGGGGAGAAATGGGCAGGGCCGTGCTTTGGGATCTGAGCCTCCTTTGGACCCCATAGATGTCAATGGACTCATTAGGGTTTAGCCAAGTTTTATGCATTATTCATAATATACATTCACAGCGTGCACACTAACGACTGTCTCCTGTGTCTGCTTAGTCAGAACCATTTGCATGCTGTAATATGGAACCATAATACAGAATGCATTTAGCTACATTTTCTGTATTATCTTTAATACATATTGTCATCATATCCTGTTATGGGGTATGTGGTGAATGTGTTTAAACAATAGCATGCACTTGTACATTATGATTCCATAAAAACAAATGTATAATAAAAGTCTTGATGGAAGTAATTATTGCATATGTGCAATAACAGTTTTTTAAAAAAGCTTTCATATTATTTCTAGTTTTTTATTGTTTGATTATCTAGTTATTTGTTTTATGTTGTTTTATGCCTGCTGGACTGATGTCCTGAAAATTTTAATTTTGAAAACAACATACCTTCTTTATCCCTCTCATATCTTACCTCATTAGTTTCCCTAAATGCATATTTAAAAACATAATATTTAAGAGACTTGATGATTAGGAAAAGCATGTTTACTAACTACCAATTAAAGATCTTCAGGGTATTTGTTATAAAGAGCCTGTGCTCCATGTATCAGCAGAACTACATTGTGTATGTGAGAACTTAACATCAAATTTTTAGCATCAAATTGTCTTCCATATCCAAGCTAGAGAATTTCTGAGTTCTAATGTCAATGAGTCTAGCTCATTTAGGGAAGTGGCATCTTTAGTGTGGAACAAGTTCCTTTACAAAATGGAATTGACCATGGATTAATTCCAACAGAATATCATATTCATTATGTCTTTTTTTAAACCCTGTGCTGGAAAGAAAGAAAACCTAGAAATGTATCTATATATCACAGGTATGAAGAAATCAGATAATGTATTGAAAACTTTAACTGATAATTTGTTGAAAAGTTAGAAACTAATTGAGGATATAGACTCCTATATCAATTTAGGTTGCTATAATGGAACTAGTTGGCACAGTGAAAGGATTCATTGAAATTGTGAGTTTTTTCTTTTGAGAGGCTACTGGTGGTTTTCCAGTAGTTGGAAGTCATTTAGTTTCTGGTTACCTACTAGTAAACTCATTTTATAATGCTCACTTTGAAAACCCTGTGATTCATTTAGTGTCCTGCAAACCGAGGGCTTTTCTATA